GAAACAGTGATAGAAAGACAAAAGCGTCTGTCGGATATGAAAATAAACCATAATTAGCATGTTTCCTTTCTGTTGCTCACATTCTTCTTTTGATCTTCTCTCGTCTTTTTCTTGGCACATTTTCTGTTTATTCTCCGTCTTTTTCTTCTTCCACAACTTCCTATCTCCTGTTCTTCTCTTCCTTTTTTCTCCCCGTCCATCACTTTTACGCTTTAACGTGTTTATAGCGTGTTTACGGTCGTGTCCGTGCAGTCGTAACGCCATTTGAATCCCCTCGCCGCCGCCGTCCCACCGCATCGTTTGGCTCTGCTTTGATGTGTAACCGGCCGCCAAAGATGCTCTATGTCTGCAGAGATGAATCACTCGATAGTAAATAGCTACAGATTGTGTGCAGACCTGCAGAGCACTAACACACCAACCGCATACGCAGCCTGCTGCCCCAAATACTCACCAGAGCACCAAATGTGGATTAATCCGCCGCTGAAAATAGTTCCCAACAAATTTCCTGGCATCTGTTTGATAAAAGAGAGACTGCTAACATTAGCTACAGTTTGGCAGACGTTCCCTTTTGTTCATATGACTCAAACTGTTTACTAATTGGAGGAGGTGTCGTGATGAACCGTAACCGCCGTTTCTCCCGTATTTCAAGGCCACCTCCCGTTTTATTGTTTCTCCTGGGAGGCTCCCTTAATTTGCACATCCCTCAAACAGATACAAGTCTTTAATGAGATTTTGGTTTGCAAGGTTGTGAAAAATCCCACCCACATTTAATATATCCTCATCCCCTCAAGGGCCCTACATTAAAAGTTCACTGTGTGTCTTCTGGTTTCCAATCAATCAGCCGAGTGATGTTCCCGGAAAAAATACTCAGAGTAAGACGTCTCTGTTTTCCCTCCTCTCTGCCAGCCGCCCGCAGCGAGCGGTGGCTTCGCTAAATACAGGCGGGTTCAAACGGGGGAGGAACCGGTGGGGAAGAGAGAATTAGAGAGGGAAGGAAAGCGTCTCAACCTTGGTGACCGTCCCTGAGTGACTCCACCAGACTCAACACTCCCCGCTCGTCTCACGCAGAGAGACGCCGGTCAGGTTCATATTTATTACAACCACCGGGTCTCAGTATGAGACTGGTTATGCTGGGAGGCTCCCAGTGTGTGTGAGAGCAGCTGTATGAGGAGAAGCCCTTCACTGTAACAGGAAGACGGTATGACGTTGTGCTGATCACAGTCTTTTTGATTAACGCCTCCTCATTGGTTGGTCCGTATCAGTGTGTCCAAATGATAAATCAGGTAACTTATTTCCAGCACTGACAGCGTTATAAAACATCTGACCGCTCCTCCGCTCTCATTATAAATAAAGCAGCCCCGGGAACCCAGACACACAGAGGGAGTTACAAGCTGGCACTTTTTAGCTCCAAACTTTATTGTCCCGAGAGAGAAATCTGGTTTGTAGACGAGGCCTGAAAATGAAAAGCATGCCATGAAATCACTTTAAAACAATGAAAACACAATAAAAAGGCACGAAAACATGACGGAGAGCAGCTGAAGTCTCACAGTCTCTCTGCTTTGTTGTTGAATTTCACTGCTTTGACAGACCACTTCCAGCAACCAAAGCACGCGACAGGACCGTTACAGTCAACACTGCAAACACTGTTAATCATCAGACCGCTTTTCAAACTCATTTTGTGTTTTATTGTTTGACAGCAGCAGGAGACCCACATAATCTATCACATACTGCGGTTTGATGTTTAACAGCCAAATAACAAAAGAAATTACAAAGAAATTATCCATATAAACAGTTTCAACAATGTTTGTGAGTTGAAATAACTTCATTACAGTGAATTATATATTATATCTGAACTCTGATGACCTGAACACAAACTATTAGAACAATGGCATCAAACATCAGGGAGAATTAAAAAAAACTAAACAAGATTGTATAAAAAGTTCCTAAAAATATCAGAAAAACTGATCTCTGATCAATATTAACAGGAAATAATCAAAAATGTTTTGAGGGCAAAAATGTCTCTTTTGAAAGCTGTTTGTCTCATTTTACTCCTGTTTTAAAATACATAAACGCATCAAAAACTATCAAACCTCATTTAGATGAAGGCGTTTTGAACTTTTCGTGGAAACGTCTTCGCCTCCGTTCGAACCGTCTGCAGCAGTCTGCATCGTCCATTCGAGCTTTTGTGTCGCGTGGTCTCTGTGTCTTTGCATGCAGTCTGAACACCTCCGGGCTGCACTTTACTTTGATCGGAATTAAACACAGAGCTCAGCTGTGATTGGTTACTGTACCTGGCGAGTGTTCTCCGTGTTTGGGGATTCAGGGCCGCTTGAACATGATTACAGCTGCAGCTGACCAGTGCTTTCATTGATGAATCTGCTGATTATATTCAGTGTCCCAGCAAAAAAAAACCTCAAAACATCGTACATTTTTAAAAAGAAATTTTAGGCCTGTGAAAGCCGTGGAGGGAACGACAGACTGTTTTCATAACAGTCTTAAAGTTTTAAATTGAACCTACAGAAACCGACTGAAATGATTAATCAACAGAATAGTTGCTGTTTCATTTTGATTGACTAACCGATCGATCAGTGCTGCCCTCAAATGGTTAATTATGTGTCAGCAAACAGTGATCAATGTTTGTTCTTATTCAGTTTTACTGGAGAAATCTTCTAATCAATGATCGAACCCTCGCCGCGTCGCTGCAGCTTTACCGTCGTCCTCTTCTCGTTTCTGTTTCTCCGCTTTGATCCGCCCAAAAGTTTAAAAAGCTTCTTCAGAACCACAAAAGGCTAAATTACTGTTTGTAAAGTGTGTGTGTGTGTGTCCTCCAGCTGACGATGACAGAGTTTGACATTCCTCTTGTCAGACGGCGAGGCCGCTTTAATGCCTCCTCGCCGCTTTTGTTTACCAGCCGTTTGACAGCGTTACACAGATTCAGTTTCACATCCAGAGCTGCTCACTGTGTGTGTGTGTGTG